GGGGGAAGGGGGGGAAGGGGGGGAAAGGGGGGGGGGGGCAGCGCGTTTCCACGCATGCTCGGAACGTCGCAATTAAAGGGGCAGTCAACTTCTTTCTTTTTTTTTAACTCGGGCTCCGTCTCAGAGTCGTGATGAATTGGCGCCATTCCCGATGAACGCGCATTTATTGAACCATCCGTTAAAGCGATACCGGGTTGGCCCAAGAAAATGATGACTTGTCATAATCTCTACTCGTTTCCTTTTCTTTCATACGATCGGCCACGTGACGTCATGAGACTTCTTCACCCTAAGGCTACCGATGAGGGCGTAAAATTCCCCCCGCTGATTTTCTCCTTCTGTGCTGTTTCGGGGAATGAGACTTTATGCGTGCATTTCTCATTTCTTTAATCAAAATTAATTGGAGCATGCAATCAGGAAATTTCGCATCATAATTAATATGATATAGAGGGGTGGAAAATTCTCAGAAACGAGACAAGAAGGCAATAATCCTCCCCAAATATTTGAAGGGTGGAGGAATGAGAAATTCGCTCGCTCGTGCTTGCACTGTGGTTACGCGTGAGCAGATTTAATTAACCGCCAAGCATTTCTTGGCGGAAGTCTTCCCTACGATCGGGCCTGTCATTCAGAGAATATTTCTTTTTTAATCCGGGCGACTGTGAACGGAGTTTGTCCAGTTTAATACACCAATCGCGATAAATACTGGGTGCAGAGTGTAAAAACGGTTTGAAAAATTTTTTTTCGTGTTAGTGGTCATTGCTCCAGTTGTGTGTTCCAGGGTAAATGCACGTCATATCTTTCGTTTAAAAAATTGCTTTCAGAACTTTCCCACACCAGCATTTTGAGGGTTGCGAGTAAAATATTTCGAAATCCCGCCCCGCCCCACCCCGCCCCGTTGCAGTTCTCTCCTCGAATGAAGGTCGCCAGTTTGCTCGATCGTCTCCATCTATCGTGTCGTTCGTGATCGATGGTGTCGTTTGAGGAGTGTCGGGGCGTGTTCTCTGGACGAAAATCGGCGCCGACTTTAATAAAAGATCGAATGGAAACCGCGGCGCAATCCATCATGGATCCAATTTGCGGGGTCTCCTTGTGGGCTTGCGGGACTTTCCCAATATTTTGCTCGCTGGCTTCAAGGTGCTTTTGTGGCTGAGTCAGCTTCGGGAAAATTCTGGGAAAATTTTACGAATTCTTTTGCATTTACATTAGAGAGATAAGGCTGATGCACACCTGTTGTAACAAACATCGATTTTCAGATACAAACATCCCGAAAGCGTTTTTTTTTTTGCTTCGTACCGGTATATGTAATTCGAAATAGTATC